TATTTAAGATTCTTATGGTTGGAATAAATAAATATTGGATTAGAAGCACCTTTTAGATAATTGCATCATTCTTCAAAAAAAATTATAATTGCAAGAAGTTCTTTGACACAAATCTTATAGCTGATCTTGGCTATTAGAAATTTTCTTGAATGAAAAGCTATTAGATGAAGTTTATTATCTATTTCTATATATAATAATATGGCATCCAAAGTAAAGTTTGATGCATCTATTTTGAAACAAAATATCTTACAAGAGTCAATGTAATATAAGATTGGTGTAAAAATAGAGGTTTTATTCAAAGCTTTAAATATTGCTTTTACTTCTTGATTTCATTAAAGTTTGTTTTTATAAGTCAAATGGATAAGTGGAGTTGCAACTTGAGAGAAGTTCTTGATGAAGATCTGGTAGTAGTTGGCAAATTCCACAAAACATTGGACATTTCTTACCATTTTTGAAATCTTCCAAACTATAATAGTTTGAAATTTTTTAGGATCCATCATTTGAAATGATGTATTCTAAGAAGTCGACTTGAGTAGTGTAGAATATACACTTTTCTATCTTGGCATAAAGTCCTGTATTTCTTAGTTTTTGTAATACACAACAAACATAAAATTCATATTCTTATATATTATTAGAATAGATTGAGACATCATCTAGGTTACAAACAACAAAGTCATCTAAAAACTCTCAAAAAACATCATTCATTAGATATTCAAAAGCTATTGGTGCATTTATAAGTCCAAAAGGCATGTCATTATATTCAAAATGTTTATACATTGTTCAAAATGTAGTCTTCTATTCATCTCTTTTTTTGATGCATACCAAATTGTATGCCCCTTATAGATCTATTTTTGTATAGATCTTAGATTGATATAATTAATCAAGAAGTCTTGATATCAAAGGTAGTAGATATCTATTCTTGATGGTGATTTTATTGAGTCCTTGATAATCGATACATATTTGCAATGATCCATCTTTTTTCTTTACAAATAAAATTAGAACTCTTGCCAAAAATTTGGAATGGCATATAAAGTTCTTGGCTAGATTTTCTTCAATATACTTTTTGAATTTAGCCAATTTATTTTATGATAAATTATAAATTGGTCCAAATGGCACTTGAGTTCCTTCTTAAAGGTCAATTGAATAATCATAGGGATAATATTTTGGTAGAGTATCAGCATTCTTTCTCTCAAATACATCTTGAAAATCTTAATATTGGCTTAGAATGTCGCTTGAAGTCTTTCTACTATTTGAAATGGATACAATATGAATGACATAAGATAATCTTTTTTTTCTAACATGCAAGAAAGCTTTTGCACCTACAAATATAGATTTAATTATAGTAGACTTATGTCTTTCTACTTGATCAATTATATTCTTAGTTATACTTTCAAATAAATCAAGACTACAAGAAATTCAATCTATTTTTGGATTATATTTTTTTAGCAATAATAAATCCAAAATTATTCAATTAGAAGAAGATTTAATCATATTAAATATTACAAAGCTACTATAATTATTATTTATTGCTTCTATAGGAAGAGTTTCATGAATAAATTTTTTTGAAGACAATGGACGACCATCTGTGACTTCTATATGAATATGTTTAGTTTTCTTCATTAAAGATATGCTATATCTTTTAGCAAATTCTTCATCTAAGAAACAAGCTGAGGCTCTTGAATCTAATAAGGTAGAGGCTTTGTGATATTAAGGTCCTAAAATAACATTTATTGTAAAATAAAGAGAAGGTTCTGAGGAGAGAATAAGACCTTCATTAGATATTGTATAAGGTTCTAGCTACACTGTCCCTATTGTAGCTAGACAAACTTATTTTTTGACATACTATTTTCTTTGATGGTAGTATTCCTCATTTTGTAATTGCATCGCTTCTTTGGACAATGTTGAGCAGTGACACCAATTGCATGAAGTAGTGAAGAGTGCTAGCCCTGATTATATTGCATAAATTCCAAATTATTGATACAAATCTTGATTTTGAACAACAATTAAAAATTCATTCCAAATCCTAAGAAAACAAGACTTAGAACTTTGGAATAAGCTTGAAGCTAGCTTACAAACTCCAATTGCCGATCTTCAAATGAATCCCTATTTTGCTCTAGGCAGCCATTTTAGTGACTGGAGGTTTGATTTCAAGTATGTTCCACAAATGGTTAATCCTCGGATATCAATCCAATCTATCCTAGGGATTTTTTAGTTTGATCTTATCTTCAACTTAAGTCTAGTATCAATTATATTAATTATTTATCTTTTTTATACTATTTTTTTTTTATCAATTTATGGCCTTTCTAAGCCAATAAAAGAAATTTAATAGTTTAGAAGGTAAAATTATTAACCAACCTTGAATCTACTAGCTATTAAGATAAGAAAATAAACTAAGAGATTTTTATAAAAGCCATGCTTAAATGTCTTGAATTACTATTGAACTAAGATGATTAAATATTAATTAAAATTTTATTTTTGATTATATTTTTACCATATAGTTGTGTTACAATATGGCAACAATATGGTGCATATATAAGAAACTTGTCTTGCAAATTAAAACATATGCTTTATAAAATGAACACGTATTGGAGATCCTATAGAACATTGTTATATAGCTCCTTGTTAGATAGTAAATATAGAAGCAAGAGTAAAGCCTTCTTCATTGTTGTCATTGCTTTTATAGTCCTTAGTCTTGTTTTAAGACTTTTTAATATTCTTGTCTTTAGCAATAGCCATTCTAGTTCAATATATTACTATCTTTGAGTGACTTTTTAATCTTTTTGAGTGATACAAGAGTGTATTGAGTTTTCTTTCTTTGAGATTCATGTCCTTGACACATCCTTTCCTATGACCTAGAAGAAGCCATGATCTAATTTGCGACTTAAATTCAATTCTTTTCCAAGTTCTTTTGAGATACTTGTCACATAGTCTTATATGATTTTTGGTAATTGATTGTCTTCCACAATATATGCTATTATGACTTTCTTTTAAAAATAATCCATTTCTTTTGGTACTTTGGCCTCGTTTAATATCACCCAAACAACACATTTTGTTAGTATGAAATCTTTTTTGCTACAAAAAAATCTTTTAGAAAGGATCTTAGTTGGTGATGCTCGCATGGGATGGATATCTATGAGCCGCTCCATTTGTGCAATAGTAGCAACCAATTCAAATTCCAATTATTCTTTCTTAGATCTATTCTTCTTGTACTACACCTTCAATGTTGTAAGAGACAGGGATGCATGTGTCAACTTGCTTTTTAGTATCACAGCATAGGTCGTGGTTATCGTCATGTTGTCTCCTCACACTATTACAATCCCACTACAAATGGTACTATAGGCACTATGACTCACTTTAGTGCAACCTCCACTGCTAGGCTCAACTAAAACCCTAATCCTAAAAAAGTCCTATCCTCAATTGATATCTTACTTGCTTAAATTATTGTATATAAATTTATCAAATCCTAACACAATGTGCCAGGGTATTGAGCATTGGACCTCGCAATCGCTCGCAGGCCAGATATGTGGTATTACACATCCTCGCAGTAATCCAAGCGCCAGTGAGGAGGAGCTTGCCGGATCTTTCCCGTTTTTTTTTTTTTTTGTTTTGTTTTGTTTTGTTTTTTTTTTCCATTTATGCACCTACTGCATATATGCTGAAATGCTTAAGTTATCTGAAATGGGTTGTCTACCTTACGCACAGCAAAGGAGCCCCATCACCATCAGCCGGCGTGCATGCGCTCAATGGATACAACACAGAGATGTCGGTGTGACAGCAACACTGAAATTGAGCACTGCTGAGGAGATTGAAGGCCAAGCGGTGGAGCTACTCCTTGACAACGACCAGGATTCGTCCGCAAGACGCAGATACCCGGACAGAAGTGTTCGTCATCGGGTTGCTCCGCATCTGCGTTCGCAACTGTGTTCGCAACGGCATCGCAATGCGGCACTGCAGTAGATGAGTGTGTTCATGAACCATTGGAAATCGTGAATGGCGACATCCGCGAGACATCAGTGAACGTGAGCCGTCTGCGATGCTTTCGCGGCCTCCTGTCCCGACCCCTCCGACGTCTATCTGGACATGCCCTGATGCCGTGAGTGGGTTGGGGTCGAAACTGGGCATGAAGCTTCTGGTCGAGTATATTTTGCTTGGGTGTTGGGGGATCGTTCGCTTTGTTTCATTGGACAGCTGTTAATAGACAAGCCTGCCGAGCACGGCATTGACAGTGGGGCCCACCTTCATGAACAACGCAAGGGTCCTGCAGCTCTCGAGACCTCGAGAACTTATTCGAGATCCTGGGATCCACCATGAAAGTGCGACACAAGGAATTCGTTCCGTGGTGACGGCGCAGCGATTTCGTGAGGTATATTAGGAGGGGTGGGAGAGAGTGGTGGAGTAGAGTCAGCGTAGGGATTGAAATTGGATACGGTTCGTGTTGCGCCTATTCGCGCTGCTGTCTGAGTTGCATGACGGGGAACGTGACGTGGGGAGGACCTGGTGTCGCATCAGCCGCTTGTTTGAATAGGACCTTGTGTCGTTGGGATTAGCGTGGGCGGGAATTGAGAGCGCAGGCGTGAGAATTGCGGTAAGCTTCGGAGCGGGGACGGTCGTGATTGCAGGTAGAAGAGGTTGTAGAGGATTCTTGAGAGGCTCGAAAAG